ACCCAACCTCACATCCACACCTACACCCACTCACACCCAACTGACGAGCCGCTGCGGATATAACACTATTCATGGATGTGTTTGTGCATGATGTCAAAAAATGTTTACTTCGATTCGTCAAGCCATCGGACACAATTCTGAAAATAGAGAAACCATTCAACAAACTATGGTGTAAAGGATCAAAAGAGTGCGTCTTCATGATGTTTTTTGGAAGTACACCAGTCACAATCAATCGGGGGTCGAGCGTTACTTGTCTTGATTTAAATCTTTAGTGTTACAAATAATCTATAAAAAATCAGTACTTTGTCAATGCACAAGCTTCTAAACCACTTAATTCTCTACTGTACACTCTTAGTTCATCTACTAATCCATTATAGTATCCTAATCCTCCCAATACACCCGTTGTTGAACATCCGCCAGCTGGATATGGAATTGCTTGTAGAGTACTTGCCAATGTAAGATAGTTTGCCACACCACTGGCACCATACGATGTACTTGTAGAATCGTGTGCATACAATTCACCATTAATATATAAACTCAAACCGCTAGTAGAACTCCATGTTTGTACAATATGTGTCCAAGAATTTATTGGTAATATTGGGCCGAGTACATACTTAGCTATAGTACCACCCCATATTTGAATGGCTAAGTGGGTCGTACTAGCAAAACCAATGAACGGGAGGCACCAACCAGCGGTACCTAGAGAAAGAGAAATAGAGAATGGAAGTAACTTTATTCAACTTAGACTAAGATAAAACAGTTTTCTGCGTTTTTTACTAAAAAAAATAGAAAAACGTCCAAAGCCGGTTAAATTTGTTTAACAACTAGAAAATCAAGCAAAAATACTTTTTTTTAACTCTAGAGTTGTATTAGTGCAACTTTTTTCTTGTAAGACTATATACCATTCTTGTACATTGATATATGTACAATTGTACCAGACAGAACATTTGGACTAATATACAGGGCAATTGAAAATGGAGTAGTTGAACTGCCAAGTGTTGTAAGGCCACTAATTTGAAAATAAGAATTTATAGTGCCTGTAAATGACAGAGCTTCATTACGTTCACCAGCTATGTTTGTTACAGAGACAGCTGTTGCTGTTAAGGTTGCGCCAACATCAGTTAGATAGGAGGGTGAAGAATCCATTGGAAAATATGCAACTAGACTAGAATTGGAAGCAAAAATAGGACTGCAAGTTGTAGTACTAGTGAATGATGTTGAAGTCGAAGTAACAATAGTAGCTAAAATAGAATGAAATTTTAGATCAAGTTTTACTTCTTTCAAGAACAAATTGATAGATACTCGTAATAGACGTCGTTGTAGTTGTTATACTTTCGGTAGTGGTAGTTGTAGTTATAGCTGAAATATAAATTCGTAAGAAAATTTTTCATTCGTTTATGCACTTTTGTTGTGGTGATTTCGAGTATAAAATTGACTATTAGCTTCAATATTCGTAGATTGAGAAAATTCGGACGGATCTCAAAAACTGTGGAAGTTTTGGCAAATCTATATGGCAGTTCAGAAACATTGATGCCTTATTAGACTATCTATAATAGTGGACTTAGATATAGAACAATCGTGTGTTAGTATTAGTCAGAGTAGAGTTTAGGGCTACTGTATCTTTTGCTTATATTATATTTGGAACTATCAACAATTGAACTAACACGTTTTATGTTATTTAAAACGATGTCTGTTGCCATGCGTACTGTGCTGTATAAATACTGAAAATTTTTGTACTAACTTGTAGTTGTTGTAGTTGTTGTAGTTGTCGTAGCTGTGGCTGTAAATTGATAGATCTATTGTTGACGTATACAGCAACTTGTATTACTTACTCGTGACCGATGATGTTGTAGTAGTTGTAGCTAAGATAGACAGTTGCCATTTATATTATAATAATAAAAGAATTATCTAATCGTTCGAAATCAAAACTGAAAGATCTCTCGCTTGCAGCTATTGCAACGAGTAAGAAGCAAAATCCTAGAATACTGCACTCTCTTGAATTTTGTAGGAGTTCTAGTAAATTTATACAAGTGATTGCGTGACTTAGAGCTTAAATACAGAAGTTTCAATAACAGAATACCTTTTTTTGTTTCGAAGATGTCACTTCTGTAGAAATTTGTAATTGCATAGATGAAAACTAATTGAAAACTGAAATCTACAGGAAGTGAGCAAATTCAATCTTAGAGATTCAAGTGCTTCATCGTAAAATTCGGCTGTAATAAATTTGAGAATAACAATATCTATTGCATACTCTTAGGGCTTGGTTCGTACGAATAGGACGAAAAGCCCATATTTGAAGTTGATCATGGACATGACTATACAAAATATGATTGGGCTATATGTCTGATGTTGCAAGTACAGCTATAGTAAACGATATAATTCCGGTTAAAAAATGTGAAAATACATAGGCTCAGATTTGATATTGAATAGATCGACTAATGCGGTTGCTTGATATTCTTTTATTGAACTATTTCGATGTGAAACCGAAATATTCACATGAATGAGTTTAAATTAATCGTATTAATCGATATATTCAATATATACTCACTCGTTGTTTGGTTTGTTAATCCATGTGAACCAAATACAGCCACCATAAGTGCTGCGAGTCCAGCCAGAAGAAGAACGGCTCCTAATACAGATGGTATGATGCACAATGGACAACACGAAAAATAGCCGCAACATTTTTTTCTATAAAAATATACTGAGCTAATGATAGTAATAGAAGAGAAAACACGAACTTGAGACACGTCTGAGTCTGATTTTTCCATTTAACAAAGACATCCGTCGTTTTTGATCGTTTTGACGATGCTTTCATCTATTCATTGATCAATTATAAATAGTAAAATCACTATGGTTCCCCAGACTTACCAAAAAATTAGCATCTTCATTCGGTGTATTCTAAATAGAGCCGGTATTCGTACACTTTGTTAATAAGAAATACCACTTACAGAAGGGCTTTTTTGTGTAACATGATTGGCTGATATCACTGAGTCTGGCTTCTTATCGTTAGAATGCGTATTAAACCAATCATTCACTGGTGACGCGGCTCGAAATGAATCTGATGATGCTGATGTTGTACCCTTCTGCAGTTGCTCATTATTGTCTGAGATATGTCGCTGTTGAGGTAGTTGAGACTAGGGAAGTAAATTGGTTGTTACTTTTTAAAGATAATTTCAGAACTCTTTGGGTTTCTCAACTGCACTTTCAAACAAATTGGACATATCGGTAGACAATACTATAGTCAAACTCTCTTGAATCTACCCTAATGCTGATTTTCTCGAATAAAATAGTGTTGAATGAAAAAATTCTCTGCATCTCACCATATCTTCTGAAACAAAATGACGTCCATTTCATACAACTCACTGAATTTAAAACGTTGTCGGGAATAATATCTATCACGGGATTGAATACTGAGCCATCCGTTGCGTGAATTTTATCAATTGATTGTAGCTTAGTATTTTTGATAGTAGAAAAGTTTTGTAAACAAACAGGTACACTCTGAGCCAACACTTGCTTTGTCGAGTCTGCCTTTGATATCAGACGATGTTGGTTTGATATTTTTATTATTTTGCTGTTTGAAGTAGAATGACGTGTGCGACGATTTCTCTTATGTACTAACTGAATGACATCAACATTCAATTTATTATCTGCTTCATACAACGAAGTCTCTCTTCTCGAATTCTCAATTGGCTTTATCCGAGTGACTGAAATTCTAGAGCCATGAACAACCTTATGCATCATCTTGAAGTAATGGAATGTTTCTGATTATTTTTTTTCGATCTCTTGTGAATTTAAAAAAGCTATCGGTATGCTTGATTATTACATTACTCGGGCTTCACTTTATACTTGCAACTCGACAGTGCCGAAGATGAAGTTGCTAACAATAATATTGTTGTGCATACTCTCAACATTTTTTGTTCTGCTTGTTCTTTTTCAATTAAAATATTTTCGTTGGCTTCAACAATGGCTGACACAAATGAATTATAAAGTAATACAGATTCTATTTATATTTTATTGATACTTTCGATGATATCTACCATTTTCTTGGTCATCGAAGCCGTATTTGAAGAAAATAACGATATATTATAAACATCTCACATCTGGAAGATAGTCGTACGCTGGCTAAACTCAGCCTGTACGACTGTATGGAAGATCTATCGATATTTATCAAAGTTATTTGTTCCATGATCGTATTGAAAGAAGCTTTCATTTGAATCAATTTGCATATGTCATGTGACAGGAGTAACGAGATATTACTCACAAGTTCTTTATCCTTTTTCAATCAGCATATACCTATGGATATTATTTAAAAAAAGCACCAAGAATCGTCCGTTCGTTGCTCGTAGAGCATTTTTTATTTAGAAGAAAAAACAACCGTAAAGCCATTTCGAACTCCACCAATTGATGAACTCACCAAGCGACTCTTTCGAGAGCCGCTCGGGACCAGCAGTCAAAATTAAATCCAAAAATACTATTTTTGATTTAGTTCCTTAGAGACGTTTTTCCATTGATCTCTGGGAATTGGTTTGGAAATAAATGGTAGTTGTTCACCATCACGATAGAATGCACCATTTTCCAGTTCACCCAGAGGAGAGTTCACTGCGTGTAAGATTGAATCGGCACCAAACTCAACAGGACGAGCATCTGGTGCATTATCGTTGATATCTGTCGCACAAAATCCAGGTGTGACAGAAACAATAAGAAGATTTTTCATGTTTTTCCACTGACGCATTTCCACTTGAGTTAGAGCATTTAGTGCTGCTTTCGACATGCCATAGATAGGCGAACATGATTTGATCGAATATCCTGCAGCATCGAGTGTGTTAGTTTTAATAGCTGCAATGAAATCTTCGACAAGACTATCGAGTTCAGTAAATGTCAAGGTTGATGCGGTGTATTTTTCCTGAATGCCTTTTGACGTTTCATACAATGTCATAGGACCAATTTGACTAGATACATTAATGATACGACCATGCTCTCTTAAGAATGGCAACAAATGTTCATTCAGTAGTTTGACACCATAATAATTCGTAGCAAATGTTTGACGAGCTGCATCCACACTGAGTTCTTTCACTGAAATTCCAGCATTGTTAATGATGACATCCAATTGACCAGTGTATTTTTGCTGAATCTCGTTTGTTACTCGAATAATGCTTTCTAGTGAAGATGTATCCAACTGAAGAAGAAACACATTAGACGGAGATCCTAATTTGATAAGAGCATCTTGGCCTCGTTTCACATTTCGACTACCAAGAAGAACGACAGTCTCTTCATAATTCGATTTTTGTTCAACGAGCTTTTTGACAATCCAAAACCCGACGCCTTTGTTCGCGCCTGTCACTAGAATGATGCGTCGTTGTGTCGACGACATGCAAATAAAAGAGTAAAATGTGATGAATCGTAAAAAAAATTAATTCAAAATAACACGTTGGTGACAGATGTGATATCGTCGTTTGCCGTCATTATATAACAGAGAGTTATGTTGCAAATATAAAAGTAATTGAATTAGAACCATTAGAAGCACATGAAAGCAATGCAATTGCAGTCATTAAAATCACATGAAAATGATGTGAAACTAATGCAATTAATTTAATTTTTCTGAAATAATCGATGTCATAGAATGAAAATGATGTGAAAATAATGTGATAATTTTGGACTTTTTTTCTGAAATACTTATAAAGATGGAATTCTTTTCATGAAAATTTTCTATAAAAGGCAAGTGTGAGTGTGAATAGAGGTTGGTGGGTATAGATAAAATAGAATACCTTCTTCAGCACTCACTCACATCCACACACTGATAAATATACAATTTGATAGTCAAATGTTTTTAAATTTGGCATATAAGATTTAATCAATTGTTTCCATTATTTAGCATTGACATAAATCAAAAAATATTTTTTCACAAATTGCCCTAAAATACGAAATTATACTTTTTCTAATCTGAAAGACACATCTGTTAATTGATAGACGACGAAGTTAAAGAATATATGATAAAAAATATTCAGTCGATCAAGATAACAATTACTATTGATAATGCGAGATTTTCTAAACATTGTAAACTAATTTCACGAAGAATAAATTTTTGAAGCTGGGAACATTTTAAAATATCATTTATTGATGAAGAAAAAAAAATTCGTAAATATGAAAAGAATCAAGAAAGTCAAATATTACATAAATAATTTCATTTGAAAGATTTTCAAAGTGAATGACCTAATATCTTATTGAAATAAGATACCAATATTCAGAATAATTGTTTTATGTCGTACAAACCTGTCTAGACGAAGAAGAACATCACATCGCTCTCTCTTGTCATGAACGTTATAATATTCTATTGTAGAAATGAAGGTTAAGTTAAATAATTTAGGTCTATATTTTATCGTTTGAATGATTTAGAACGCTTTTTAATGATTCATTTATTGAAAGTGCGCTTAAACTGAGAATGTCATTTAAAACAGTTGGATCAATGTTGTTGCTTCTTTTATATGTATTGTCGGACAAAAGCATAATAAAAATATTTTATGAATAAATCAATTATTATGTAACATGAGTGTAGTTTTGACAATTAGAAGAATTAGTGTGTTAGATAACATAGAGCATTATTGATTCGTTATGCTTAGAAAATAAGAAGTATATCTGATGCGATTGATTTCGTATACTTGCTCTCCACTTGGATATACATAGATTCAGTTTTTAAATTGACAATCTATTTCTCTTCGGAGATACGAAAGTTTCGTTTCTTAGTTTTCACAATATCGGAAATTATAGTTGACAGCTTTTTCAATATTTTGTTTAGTTATCAAGACGACTTCAAATATATATATATATCCCTCTCGCTATCAAAAAGCAGAATATTACATCGTATATCTAACTTGTTGATATTATTTATTATAATGTCATCGAAAGCACTTTAGTGTAACTTACAATCTTAAATGTATCTTATGCTACTTCTGTATTTTCTTTTCTGCTCTTGACATAAAAAGATATTTTTTTTATTCATTCTACATCTTGCGCGAGACGATGATAGAGAAGAAGAAAAATCATCGTCATATTACTGAGTAGGTTTTACTGTTAATGTCATATTAGAGACATTATTAGACAAGATAAAAAGAACAGAACGATCTAAGAGTTAGAGAAGAGAGAGAGAAAAAGACATACATATAATAACGGGCATTTATACATTTAGTTGATATAGAGGCGGTTCGTATTCTTTCATTGCAAAAAAATAATGGCTCGTCTTGCTCTTCAATTATGTTTGTTGGTCAATATTTTGGTTATGGTGACCAGTCTTTTTATGTCAACGAAACTTAAAGCACCCACTACATACGAGATGAAACAAAAATTACTTACAGTCGGCACTTCGTCATACACGATCAAGGACAAGCAAGGTACACCACTTTATAAGGTTTGTTTACACTCACCATTCTGACAGCTAGTTTTATTATTTTTTTCATTATTTTTATGAAAGATTGGTTTCAAAACAATTGGTCTTGGTAAACACTTGCAACTAACAGATTATAATACAGGCAAAGAATACTATGCAAGTAAGTGAGAAATTATCCTAAACATTTTCCGTTGAAATATGTTTCGAAATTTCTTCTATTTACAGTTAAACATATTCTCAATCCACTGGGTCTTGCTAAATACGAGATTCGACAAAACGATCGAGTCATCGCCGATGTTAAGTAAGTGGTTTTAAGCTTATGCTAGATTCAACATCTGATTCTCCTATACTCAATAGAGTCTGAACATGAAGACACGATCCTCGAGTTCGATAATGTATTAAATATATTTCATATACATTATGTCATTCAGAAGAATAAAAGAGACAACATAAGAGAATATGTCAAGATGATAAGGAAGTCTCTATAAGAATACAGAAAGATAAAAATGTATAAAAGTATACATTTTGTTATTAGTGATTGACATGTATGAAGAAAAGAAGGATATTATGAGAAAGATAAGAACGTAAGAAAATATTTTTTTATTATGCTCGTGAATGTAATACTCGGAAGTGTTTACATGATAGGACTATACTATTTATGCAAAGTGTTGTATACTATTTCACGCTTATAGATATATGAAAATAAACACAGAGTACGATGAAGAAAATAAATAAAAATCTGATTATTAATATGACAAAATATAGTAACACACGAGAGGGGAAGAAAACAAATATTGTGTTTATATCACTCATTTATACTATTTTTCGTTCGTTTTTTCATCTAAAATGTTGGAAGTAATATTAATACAGTTTCAAGGAACTTCTAGTTAGTGTAAGATAATATGTTGAAATATAATATTTCATTTTAAATAGTAAGGGTTTTCATCTCAATCAACACTTGAAAATTGATATTTTCTTGTGGTTAATTGATGTAATTTTTCATTAGATATACTAGCAAGATCGTCGGAAGTTACGTTCATGAATATTTTTCTAATCAAATATGAAAATAGAAGTCTAAGACCATTACGCGAGTATTGGTTATGAATAACCTTATTCTTTACGATTCTAAACAAATAGAGAATCATTTCTTGTGTAGAATTAAGGAAAAATGACACTATATAGCCAGATCGTTACAATAGTCAGATTTTTATGTGACACGATAACTAAAAAGCTTTTCGATTCAATACCTAAATACAAAATCAACAATAAATAAATAAAAAACAGATGAAATAAACAATAGTGTTGAATTGTTTGATATAACTTAACTAACACAATTTTCACTCACTCTCTCTCTTTCTTTTTTTAGACGTAAAGTGAAATTACTAGGATTAGGCACAAAATTCACAGTAACATCGAAATTGGGTACATACAAAATTAATGGAAAATTTCGATCACGTGATTTCAAAATTAAAAAAGATGCTCAACTAGTTGCTACAATTTCAAAGAAATTCTTCCACGTTCATGACACATACGGCATCAAAATTGAAAATGGTCAAGATGTTCCATTCATTCTCTCTTTAGCCGTCGTACTCGATGAAGTCTTACATGACTAGATACACAACGACAATGACGTACATAAAATAGTTACTAGTGTAGTTATTTTCTTCTTTTTTTTTGTCACATATATTTATGATAGAACTTGTTCGCTTCAATACGGATAAATATACTTACTCTCAACTAAGTCCTGCTTTTTGTTTTATTATAATAAATACATTTTTCTCAAATACACAAATAAATAATAATGTATTTTTCTTTGATGTTAATCGTTTTTATATAACCAGATGGTCTCGCCTGTTCACACCTATATCTCTCATAATGAGTGGGGTAAAATATTTATCAATAATATATTCGCGAATAAAATATTTTTTACAAAAATCGAATAATTATCGCTTTTACGATAGACAATTAGAACTGTCATTATGCAGAATTGTTTGTCTTTCTAATTATTATAAAATTAATTCTATTTGTGGATTATCTTGACGTGTTTTCGCAAGCTCCTTTCTTCCAATATCGTCAATTGGATTGAATCGAAGATCCAATGTGACAAGTGTCTATATGACAAGTAAGACAATGATAGAATGAAAATAAGGAGAGAGATATTACTTTGTTGTGTTGTAGCGCAACGGCCAAGTATTGTACTCCTATACCGGTAATTTGATTATGACTTAAATGTAATCTGAGCAGTGTCTGTATGAGATAGTAAAAGAATAGTAGAATAAAAGAAAATGAATGATTTTACTGTATTTTTCAGTAGAAGATGAAGAAGATGTGCTGGTCCTTTATCACATATTGCATTGTTACCAATCTCGAGTGTAGTAAGTGTCTGTATGAAAGAAGAGAATGATAGAATAAGAAGATAAAATAAATGTACATACTTTGTTTTGTTGTAAACCATTAACGAGATGTTTTACTCCTTGGTCACCAATTTGATTGTCCCATAAATCAAGTGTTGTAAGTGTCTTTGTAAAATAATCAATTATAGTATAAAATAAAAAAATAAAAAGAAACGCATTACATTATTTTCCTTCAGAGCATTGACAAGGTACTCTACACCTTGTGAACCGATTCGATTGGCATGCAAGTTCAATACAGTAAGTGTCTATGTGTGAAATAATATGTAAGTAACAAAATTAAAAGTCGGTATATGAGTGTGCGATCGAAAAAATATGTTACTTGATTTTGTCTTAGAGCATTAGCAAGATATTTTGCTCCTTGTGAACCAATTTGATTATTATGGAAGAACAGTGTGGTGAATTTCTATGTGAAATATATTGTAAATAATATCAAAAGATTAAAAATATTGTTACTTGGTTTTGTTGTAGAGCATCAGCAAAATGTTGTATCTTGTCTGGAGTGATTTTGTCATGACGAAGATTCAGTACGGTGAGTGTCTAAAGAAAAGAATGAATTAGGTCAACAGAACACTTCTTGAGTAATATGAAAATAACTAAGGAGGTAGGTCGCAAGCACATCTAATAAAGAAATTTACCTGATATCGATAATAATTGTCTGTGATTGTATTAATATGTGCACAGACATTTCGCATAGAATATAAAATAGAGTAATCACTAAGATTATTCAAGATTCGATAGATAAGTTCCGCTGGTATTGTATGAAGAGATGGAATAAATTTTTCAGCCATCAATGAAACTTATTAGAATATCTGTTCGTTACTAAGTGTATGCTTATAATTTTTCATTTCATTTGCCTGCGTTGATGTTTGTTTTGAGTCATAGATTTCTCATGATTGTGCAATTATGTTGAGTGCGTATGAAAAAAGAAATAGGAATGGCGGTATAAGTGCAGTTTACTTTATCGTTGATTCATCGTATGACGTACACGAAGGTGAATCATCAAATAATTTTTCTTTTTGCTATTCAACATACATCCAATTAGACGAGAGTAGAGATGGCATATTTCATTTTAGCATGATTTTATGAAGTTTAACTCAAGAAACTTTTCTTAATCATTTTTAATGGCAAGAACATGGGTCATATAAACATAAAATATAAGAAATAGTGAAATAAATTTAAATTTAACATATTTCTTGAGATAATTGAATATATCGACTTTATCGAACGATGTTCATTGCTCGTAAATTGCTTTGATTTCGGATTGAGTTAGGTAGAAGGGATGAAAACGTATGTCAGTTAATCGACATACATTATTAAAATAGGATGAATAATATCGAATACAATGTATTTGTCCGTTTAACCAAAATGTACATATCGGCAGAGAACCATCTTGACCGTATTTTCAATTAAAAGTTATGTGAATCCATGTTTTTTCTAGCACCTTTTTTTTCTTTTCTGATATTCTGTAAAATATAAAATGTAACTGTGAATCCAATTGACTTGGATGGCCTCAAAAGTAGATCCGAGTAATTGGGTTTGATTGAAGGTCTATGGAGAGACGGTCATCTTTGTCTGGTATCCAAACCCAAAAAGAGATCGAAAACGATGACACTTTAGCGGATTCCAGTTGTTGTAGAACATAACAGTTTTGACTTTGATAAAGTATGGAAGACGAAGTAGAAAGATTTAACAGAATAGGATGCTTTCGATGATCAACTTTATCAATATGAACATCTCGTAAAAGGAGTGGTCGACTAAAGAGAATCTTACGAGAGAATCGACTAATAAAATAGTCACGAAGAAATTTTTTATCTCCATAATTTTTGATTGTATATGTATAAAGCAGTATTTTCTTGCAGCAGTGACTTGCAAAATACTCTATCGATGATGTGTATAATAAGCCGAATTGCATCAACTTTCAATTAAATTATAGAAATGTTTTTATAAAAACATAAGAATTTCTATTATTTTATACTATATTACTTGAGAAGAATTCTGTTATTTGGATGTCGATACCAATGCAATCTCTTTAACAACGGCCGTGATCATCCGTATAACCAATGACCAATTACTGGTAGATGAACTTCTTTTTCATGTCATACAACTATATGTTCTGATTCATATATTCCAACACTACTGAATATCTCATCACATATCTCATTTGTTGTCTCGTTCCTATATAACCATCATAATAGTTATTACGCATAAGTTACACGTATTTTTGTAATAGGAGAAAACAGAAACAAATATATGACAAAGATGTATATGCAAATAAACGAAATATTTTTATTTCTTATACCACAAACAAGAAACGAACTATACATTATTTTATTCATGCGTCTGTTTTGGGTATCTCTTTGCTCAATGAATTGGAGTAACGTACTACAATCAAATATTTAGTATGTAGAATTTTTTGTTAGATAAAACTCTTACTTAGTTTTTAAATCACTTATTGTGAGTTTTTGAAAAATTTGCACAAATATTGTAGACAATGGTATATAATAATATCTGGCGCATTGTTCTGTTTTACTTATGTACGGTGATAAAAAAGGAAAAAACCGATGATTAGCAAACAAATGCATATTCTTGCTGATTCAGAATTACTTTATATTATATTTTTTTAACAGAACAAGACGAATAGAAAAATGACAGTGAGATTGGTGACAAGACATATATGATTCATTTACCATCGTATTTGCATAATATAATTTAATATCTTTATAGATGAATGCACCTCGACTCATCGTCATGATATTATTCTGATTCTTTAAATTTTGGATGAGCTATATTTACTTTAGAAATTCATATGATGAATTAAATCTGCCTCGTGCAGTACTTGTATCGACAACAATCACACCCTGATAAAATATGCGTTCTTACAAGTATCTTCTTACAAGTTCGATGAAAAAAAACTATTAGACTAATCGACAGAAAATATCACATCACTAAATATTCATTTCTTCATTATCGATGAAAAACGCGTTTATCCTATTTCAAATAAAATAATTTAATCCTTCAAATTACTGTGATGATTTCTGATATAATAGACATCACTTCAGAGCTGGTATGTATGTGTATATTTGTTTTGTTCTTTATACAGTATGAAGAACGACAATAAATATAATAGCCGAAAAGAAAGCAAAGGGTAGGTCATATCATCTAGATGGAATCGAACGAGAAAGGAATTAGAAGTACTTCATAATATAGAAGCAGAATACAGAACATGGTGGTCATGTGACTTAAAAATAAATAACGACTTATATGAAGATAGATTGTTACAATCACAAAATTAATTTTTATCGTCTCAATTTACATATTGTTTTCGACTACTAATCTCTAATTTTTCTTAATCATTCATTTACATCAAGAATAGAGGTTTATAGGATGCAGAAAAATTACGCTAGTGCTGTTATTTTCCTACTGCTTGTATCGCTGGTTATCGCAAAGATACCACGTACAGATGTTACAGTATCAGGCTTTTCATCAGGTGGTGCAATGGCTACTCAATTACATTTCGCGCTCTCAAATGATATCAGTGGATGTGGAGTTCTGGCTGGTCCTCCTTATTATTGTGGTGGAAATGGAATGACAATGGCAATTTGTTTAAATGGTCCAGTCTCCTTTATCTCTGTATCTGCTATGCAAACAGCACTGAACTCAAACGCATTATATCGAAGTATTGATAGTCTTTCAAATATTAGAAACGATCCAGTGTATGCTTTCTCAGGTAAGTATGATACTGTCGTACTCCATGGGATCGCCATATTAAATGAACAATTATATACACGTTTTGGTGCAAATGTTAAAACGAACTTCAATATGTTAGTGCATCACGGATTTCCAACAGACAATTTCGGTGGCAAATGTGATGAACTTAATAAACCAAATTTTATCAACAATTGGTAAGCATAGACTAATTATATATACATAGCAGTAAGTTTTCTTTCTAGCAATTTCAATCTGGCTTATGACATGCTCAATCATCTTTACGGTGGTAATCTATTGAAACCTGATCGAAATTCACAAACTTCACTTACTGGTAACATGTTTCTGTTCGATCAAGTAGGATTCATGAATACTCCACTATCATTGATCACCAGTCAAAATCCTAGTTCTATCAAATCGCAATGGATTGAGAAAAACATGATTTTGTATAGTCTCAGAAATGGAGAACAACCAACGTTGAATTTATTCAATTTAACAATAGCAAATGCATCAGAAATTCAAACAACAACGACGCGTAGTTCGCTGTCTGGTTTTGATAAACAAGGTTTTGTATATTTTCCATCAGCGTGTATTAGTGGACAAAAATGTTCGATTCATGTAGCTTTACATGGATGTCAAATGGGTAACTATGAATATCATTTCTTATTTGTCCAATAAAATATCTTCATTTTTCTCCTAGGTAAATCATACATTGGAGACGTTTTTGTAACAAAAGCTGGTTATTTGGAAGTGGCTGAACTCAATAATATTATTGTGATTTTTCCACAAATTCTTGCATCAACTGCTTTCCCAATAAATGCTATGGGTTGTTGGGATTTTTGGGGATATAGTTCCATCTATTATGCTACTCGAAATGGTCCACAAATATCCGGTATAAAAAAAATGATTGATACTGTTCGTATGATCAACACAGCTTTTGTTGGTGTTCACTAATGATAAATGATTTATAACTAAGATTAATTCATTGAATAAAAATTATCATCAATCTATCAATGAATACATGTACTTTGTACAAATGTTGTCATGAGCAGGAATATTCATAGTTATTGCATGAATTCAAGTAAATAAGGACAAACATGATCATTAATAACATTCGTTTCAGAATGCATCATATGTGAATATTGATGTACGTCTCCGACATTAAACAGTTTACTCTTTTTTTATTTATAGCATAAGACAGCAAAATATCTAGTATGTAGTAGTGGACGATCTTCTAAGTTCAATTTGAATATATTAGTGAAATTATTTCGGTAGTTTAAAATACATTTTGAAAGCTGCAAAGCTGAAGTTCAATAGTTATCACATTATACAGTTGAGGAACTCAACGGAAAATGAAAACTGTCTTTTTACGCTATGGTTATGTATTAAAGGCCAATACTTTATGCTTTCTATAGTAGAATTAACAATGATTGATGCAGTTATAATGCAACTGATTGTATTGTAAGCTAAAGTACCATACATATTCGTGTCAAACCAAGCTCTCATTTTAACACTGTCAGATTCAAAATATATGAGGGTGGGTGTAAAATTCAGTCAGTATTTCTTTTTCCCATACGCACACACACCCACATTCATCCTCTTAATGATATTTTTTATAAAATTGAAAAAATAGGTGTTTGTGTAAATACGTATAATCCATATTGCTCATTTTGTATAAAACTTATTTCGAATTTTATTGCTTAATTAAATACAAGTCTTTAAAAATGTAGATGGCTCTTTTCTGTTGTTCAGAGAAAAATATCGATTGTTTCTTGTTTGCACTTTCAGAGAATATATAGAGTTGCCCTTTTTTTCTATTATTGACATTGCAGAATACATATTTAGCAATAAGTTTGATTTAATTATTTATATTGAAATGATATGACAGAAATTTATTATCTATATGTTTCTTTGCTTTTAGTTGTTGATCTGTAATTAAAGATGGAAAAAATAACTATTATTGATATTAAGTTTAGAATTGAAAAAGAGTAGTATATCATGATATTTAATGAGAAAAGGCATACTAAAGCCTTCAGGAAACTCCACTGAAACTACAGAAGTCTAAGAATTAGGCTGATTTTTATCTTTTAGTTAATACTAAAATTTTTAGCGTGTAAAGTTCATTATGTTGTATATAATAAATCAACAAATATGCAGTGAAAATTTTTACATTTATATGGAAACAAAAATAAAACAATTTGAAAAAACAAAAACTACATCGAATTTTACCTTTATTTAATAATAAATAAGTAATCTCAAGATTATACATATATTCTTCGTTTTCCCTCTATCTAATCGCTGTATAATCCTTTCTTTAAGAGAAGGGAATAGATACTACTATCGTATATAGCTGCCATCTATATCTGTTAGTATTTTTAATTGTTCTATAATTTGATATAAAACTACTGGTTACTATTAAACAAATTATTTTCTCTTTTGCTGTCATGTTACATATATTATGAAATACTGTTTTCGTCAATATTTTAGTAACATTTTGCGGTCAGAAAATACCGCATATCACATTTCTAAAATCCAAAAAATTAAACTTAATTTTTTGTCTAAGATTTTATTCAGTCATTCTGGGATTCATTGAAACTGAGATGATTCAAAACTTTCTTTTATAATGATTATCAAATGATAACAGCTTTTAAACCATTAATTATTTGGTTTCTTTCAGAATTCTCATAGCCGATACACACATTAGGGTGTTGAAGAAGTGATTGTCAAGTTACATCCTCCCTCAGTAACGTAAAATATCTAAGCTTTCTTTTGCTTTTAAGATAGATAAATTTGAAAGTTTTTTTTATTAATGGATTTGCAATTTCAAAACTGGTTCAAAATAGAACAGCTACTAACCCATTCATGTCATGTATTTCGAAAATTATTCAAAGATCGATGGTTCATGTTTACAAATCAACAATGGTTAGATACTCCGGCCGATGGGCAGGCCTACATTATAGGTATCGGTATAAAGTATTATCAGAGGTGTCGTAATATTCAAAAAGTTATGTTACAAACAGGCAATACAAACCAATGGGATTTATCTATATTACTTGTTATTCTTCGTGAAATGAAGCTTACACAGTCATTTAACAAAGTCGACAACCAAAGGATTAAAAAAGAGAACAGTGATTTATCAGTAATAACGACTATTCGAAACAACAATGCTCATCACGCATCAAAATGTATTTCCGACACTGAATTTGAAGCTATTTGGACTCAGTTATCGTCAATATTAGTTTCGTTCGGAGATGATGTAGATGACATCGCTGAATTAAAACTAAATACAAATGACGCCAAACAGGAAGAACCTATTGATACCGTGAATACGACTGAAGCAAAACGTTTGAAAGATCTCGGTAATGAAGCATATAAACAAAAGAACTTTGATGAAGCACTAAGATTGTTCTCACAAGCACTCGTTCTTGCTGGCGTGAGCGATTGTGATCGATCTATTCTTTATTCAAATAGAGCTGCCGTATATCTAGAGAAATGTGAAACTTTACCAATTACTTCGTCGACGGACTCTCGATATCTCGCCTTACAAGATGCTGAACATGCGCGTGATCTTCGACCAATGTGGCCAAAAGCTCATTGTCGTATTGGGCAAGCACATGTCGCATTAGGCGAATATGAAAAAGCTGTGCATTCATATGACAAAGCTCTTGCGCTCGATCCAACTAACATTGACATGAAAAATGCACGCGATTCTGCTCTTGAAAGAAAACATTACTTTGAGCGGCAAGAACATCTAAATCCACAGAATATGCCGAGGACGACTCGCGAGCAACTTGCCGAATTGTCAAAACTATCCGGATTTAGTATTGAACAGCAGGAAAAATTGATTGATTCAATTAGAAAAAATGATCCAGGTAAAGATGCTGTGCTTACTGCACAGCAATATCGAGATGGTGATGATGATGTCAAACAAAATTATGAACTAGCTGCCAGATTTTATTCAAAGGCTGTCGCTCTTGGCAATGCTGAAGGCATGTACAATCTTGCTTTACTCCACCAACAGGGATTAGGAGTTAAAAAAGATATGCGAACAACTATTCAATTGTTCGAAAAAGCAGCTGCTCAGAGTCATACAATATCAGACAAATCACCCATTCCGAATGTCGGTGTAGCAGAAGCTGAACATTCTCTGGGATTATGTTATGAAACAGGTGTCGGTGTCGAAATAAATTACAAAAAAGCAGCTGAGTGGTATCAACGTGCATCAGATCATGGTAGTGCACCTGCTGCCAATAATTTAGGACTCATGTATGGTGCTGGCAAAGGTGTCAATAAAGATCTGATTAAATCAGAGCAGTTACTTCACTTATCTGCTACACGTGGCGCTCGAAATGCTCCAATGAATTTAGCTCTAGTGCTCTTCGAAAAACAAGACTATCAAGCGGCAGAAGAATGGTGTAAACGTGCTAGTGAAAACAACAATATGCTGGACAAAAACCGTCTGAAAATGATTCAAGATGCAGCCGAACAAGAGCGTAAGATGTTTACGAAGGCAGATGTTGAAACATGGGAAAAAGCGAATGGTTTAAATATTAATAATTTGACTTATAATGAACGTATTCAACGTAAAAGATGCGCCGAAAATCCATCGTCTGCCAGAGCGTTTAGCGTCGCAAAGGATTTCACTAAAGTATTTCAGTCACTAAAAACTGCATCACAACCATATGGTGTTAAACCGAGTATGTATGATCATACAATACTTGAAGAATATTCACAGAAAGGATATGTTTTCGCTAAACGACTACTAGAAGCGCAAACTTATTTCCTCAGATCGGTACAAATTTTATTGGATGAGTTTATTAACGTCAATGATAGGGACATTCAATTTATAACAGAACTTTCCGCAGCTATTAAAATAGAACATATTGTTATTCAACTGCCAGAATATCTGCATAATGAAGCAAAGCTTATTGTTGTTCGTGTTCTGGCTCAATGCGATTCGAAAAAATCACAAATAGATGAAGATGCTCGCGTGTGTTTTGGATATTTGCATATGAATTCATTACAATCTACTATCGAATTTTTGACAGTTTGTATTCGAATGTATTCGAAGTCAGACTTCTTCTTGGAACTCCGCGGTTGTCTCTATGGTTTTCTTGGAAAATACGACGAAGGTTTGGCAGATTTCAACGCCGCACTTCAACTAGTTCCCGATGCTGTAGAGTTATTGTATGATCGTGCTGCTTATTTGAGACTCATTAAACATATTGATTTGAATGGGGCGATAGAGGCATACGATACATTTCTGAAAAGCGCACCATTCGATCATCGCAAGGTACCTGAAGCATACTATGCAGTTGCGTCTTGTTATTTTGTGAATACTACAATACCTAATCACGTTGAAATTGCAGAAAAATATTACGAAAAAGCCATTGAAGCCGAAAAACATCAGCTACCCTGCTTCATACCCTACCAATCGAACAACAAATCATTGGTATCAATGTTGTTTTCACATAAACCTATAAAGTCTAAAGGAGCACCAACTAAATTAGAAATCGACACGGGAAAACCCAAATCACGTCTTACTGATTCTCGACGCCTTGATATGATTCAGTTTCATCGAAATTCTATTGCTGAAAAACGTAGGCTTCCACCAAACATGAATCTCGTAACCTCAACAACTAAAGCTCGTCTACATCAAAATTCACCTATGTCATTGATTGGATTGAAAGGCATTACTCTGCGCGATATGAATCCAATGAAAGACCATATTTATCAAGGATGTGTATTATCGGGAGTGATTTTCGAACAATCGCCAGTGGTTGAACCATCTATATGGTTACTATTTGAAGATGACAATGGTGATCTAGAACGACTCTTTTTGTACAATATTCCAGCGTCTGAAGGTTGGCAATTAATAAAAGACACGTATATTTACGGCACAAAAATAAGTATTTTAAATCCATATATGCGCATGGCAGCTGACGAGAAGCCGGCTATTCGTGTGGATGATGCTTCGTCAATTATTTTACACGGAGATACTCACAATGTGAAAGATATGTGTCGATATTGTACTGAAGCAAATGCAGCACGTGTTTGTGGAAAATGCAAATCAGCTCACTATTGTTCAAAAGAATGTCAAACAATTGATTGGAAGCAATGTGGTCATAAATTAGTTTGTGACTGACTTGTCTGGAAATTATTCTTGAAAAAAACAAATTTTATTAAACAAAATAATTATTTGTATTTAATTATAAGAAATTTGTTTCCATTTAATTTAAAATGAATGACACGAGTCATCTAAATAAATTGAGGAATATGAAATGAATCTAATTCTCGTTTCATTTTTCTTTGATATTATACTAGGGCGTATGAAAAATCAATACAATACCTCCATCTATATTCATTCTGTGTCAAAAGAAAGTAAACAAATGCCACTCATATAAAGAAGAGTAGTAAAAAATGAAAATACGCGATGGTTACGAAATATTTCTGTTCTTATTTTGTTGTAGAAAAAAAAAATGAAATTTGAATCATTGTGTAACGAACTATTTTTTGAACTATTCGAATATCTCAATGGTGTTCATCTAATTCGTGCTTTCCATGATCTTAATTTTCGATTCAATAAACTCCTATTCGATCATTTTCGACAATTTCAATTTGATTTTCGATCGATATCTAAGCGCGATTTTGATTTTATTTGTCAACAATATCTTCCATTGATCATTCATCGAGTCACTTCACTTAGTATTAGTGATAATGAAGAAACCCCAAATTTATTCCATCATCTTCTTACTTATGGTTTTACTTTACATCAATTTACTTGTTTAAAGTCACTCTCATTCTTTCACAAGAAAATCAATAAAATTTTAACAGAATCTATCTATCTTATTCAACGAGCACATTTAAAATTGATTCAATGCTATTATAATAATCATGAAGATGAACTTGTTGATTTGATCAACAATATATGGCGTTTACCGAAATTGACACATTGTTATTTAGATTTTGAGTATGCATATGGTCGATTATTTAATAGATTAGATGTTATTTCATCATCGATCGAATGCATATCATCACCATGGATGCAGTGCTCCTCAAAAGATTTCCAAAATCTATTTGAACATACACCTCGACTTCGACATCTCGATGCTATTTTTTATACTGTTACTAGGAATGATTTATTAAAAACTATCGTTCCTACACTCACAAAATTGCATGTTATATTCATTAGTGCTTCAGAATCTATAATGATCAATCTATTTCAATCTATGCCAAATTTGACTAAATTAACAGTTCAATTATTTATCTATCATTTAAACGGACATCAATGGAAAGAAATCATTGTAAACTATTTACCTAATATTAAACTATTTCGATTTTCAATGAATTTTCAATCATCAATATATAATGCAGAGACAGAAAAACAACTTAATGAATTACTCGATACATTTCGTACATCATTTTGGCTTGATGAAAATCACTGGTATGTTCGATGTCATTGGGATTCACAGGATATAATTCAAAATACTCATATCTATACATTACCACATATTTTTCCATATTGTTTTGATAGAACAAGAAAGCCAAGATTGAAATTGAATGGATGGTGTAAATCAACTTGTCCGAATGATCAAGAATTTTGGTCTTATGATTATGTGCGTGAAAGTCCACTTACAAGAGAAATTGAGGATTGGGCATTATCATCAATGCGTTTTCCTAAGATTGATATATTACAAATTGCTCTTCCTACACATGAAAGTATTTGGTCAATTATTCCTACATTTAATTATTTGACTTCATTAACTATTTATATATTCGGCAACAATGCACAATCTCAACTTCAAGCTTTAATTGATCGTGCACCTCGTCTCTATTCATTAGCAATTAGAAATGATTCAACTTTTCAATTTTTACAATGGAATATTAGGAGTACATCAATACGTCGACTTGATCTGATGCAATGGGAAACTGAAAATCATTTATATTGCAATGCTGCAACATGTTTTACATTGATCAATTCATTATGGAGACATCAATGTGAAGTTCTTTTAATTGACATTGAAAATCGATCGATTATAATTGATCTTATCAATAGAATGTCAAATCTTCGATCATTGACTGTTCGTTGTTATGATGATGAATTGAGCAATTCTCATTTATCATCAGTGCAAGATGAGTTTATAGATTGGTTAAAAATTTGTTTACCGTCCAAGTGTTCTATTCGAAGGCATAAACCTGACATTAACATATGGGTTAATAAAGAAAACTAGGAAATATAGGAAAGATCTTGATATACCTACATTTTGTAAGTTTTGACTAAACATAATTATGTAAAACGGAAATAACTATATCTTTCGTAGTTGTTGATGAAAATGAAATGAAAGTTTCATTTCGAATTTTAAATAGATTACTTAATTTCGATGACGTCTTTATCAATAGATTCCTGACTGTCAACCATGTTTTATATTATCAATCATTAGTTTTTCTTTTTCTCTAGAAATGAATTTATGAAAATTTTATTTTTAGAATAGAATGTTGACATGAAATATAGTTTTTTATCTAAAGTCTACGTTTAATAAAAGTTAAAATAAGTGGAATTAAAGATAGTGTGGTATCTTTGCCATGTTCATCCCAAAATTTGATTGCAACTGGTTGTGCTAATTTAAAAAATTCGATAATTTTCGCTTGCATAGTTATCCAAAACGATTGATTATCCGAAATTGTAAAACACCAAGCAACAATTTTATCATCTTTCAATGATGTTAAAATACCAAAAATAAGTTCATTAATTCCTTCCGCTTCTTTCCGTACATTAAGTTCTCTATCTTCATAGACAATACTATTTACCGACGTACATAGAGCAACATCACCATAATATTTTATATTTGTTTCATCTCGTGTCATGTTATGATAATGAGTAAGAAGTGAATGAAAATCTTGTAATACTTGTTTACGTCTTTCCGATCCACCAGAATATTTATTTGTACAAACTAAAGCACAAAAGATATTTGATTTGATACAAGTATCGACAAGCCATTGTAATTGATCAAGTTGTGCAAATGATCCAGGCGATGCACAATAAATCATACAGAGTGGTTTACTTGTATTCATAATTCTTGAAAAATAAGTTCGAACATGATCTTCAGTCCACGATTCAATACCTGGAGTATCATAAATTGTAATAGTATATGAAATTGAGCTTGTATGATCGTTTCCATTAATAAGATATTTTTCCATTCGATCAGTTTGTGCACATAAACTATTACTTGTTCGTGCAACTTGCTTTCCACAAAGAGCATTAACAAGTGTACTTTTACCAACACGTGCCGAACCACAAATAGCAATATTAAATTCTTTAGACATGTTTGTTGTTGAAAACTATAATCTAAAAAAGAATACAACATTCATTTCTACTACGTTTTCTTCTTGAAAAAGTAATTATTCAGATAAGCTAAAACATTTTCTACAGTTCCATCACGTTTTTTCCCAATAAGAACATCGATAAAGTACAGCATAATATTAAGCAAGTAATTCACCATGACATCCAATAGAATTAGTGTGAAATGTTAGTTTATTCCATAACCGAACACTAATCCATATAGAAAGAATGATGATACATCGCACACTCAACATATAGAATAGAACAATATATATATATCGCTACCAACGCCTTCTCTCATGCATACACACATTCCAACACATCCTCTCTAACTCAGAACAACAAAGTATGGAAGAGGAGCACAAAACAAATGAGAGGAGTATGAATGGAAACAAACAAACTTGGGAGAGAAGAGAATGTATCATGTGCAGAACACCATTATCAAAGAACGTTACTTTATGAAGATTTTACGAATGTGATTGTTAAGAAAATTTCTCAATTTTTTCATGTTCGTTTTGAAGTTCATTAATAATCATGATGAAGTACAATAAATTATGCTCACTTCGGCTGCCTTATTATCCTGTAATTCGATACCGGGAGTAACGTAAAAAGTAATTTTGTAGATGAATATACTTTTGTATTGATAATAATGTTCATCTAAGATTTTACGTACGCTTGTTAGTAGACTATGGAATTGTTTCGTGTCTTAATAATTTAATTCTTACCCTCTGAGTCGGCTCTTAAAAAAAACACACAATCACTATTTACCTGTAAATTAGATTGACGACTATTGCAAGACGCTCACCACGATATTCGTATTACGTTTTGTGTAAGAAGAAAAAATAAAGTCGATGTTGTTTTTTTTCTCTTTCTACATCAAATATTGTTATTACTCGATATGTTTCATTACCTCAAGTCACAAGTGATTTTAAATGGACATGAAAAGAACAGAAAATAAACCATGTGATTATGTGTACATCACTGGGTTTTTTCCAAGTAGACAAAATAACGTGCAATACAATTTGTTTACGAAGATCAAATGAAATATATCAAACATACTATGAAAGGGTGTGGATAGAGATGAGTATGCAAAGTATGAATATTTGTCCTTTATTCAAACACCACACATCCACCTCAATTATGTATTCATCTAACATCTTTATTCACAAAAAAGAAAACTACAGAAATAAGTACACATAATCTCAAGAAAAAAATCCTTAATTGTTTCTTCATATTCTTAAATAAACTTAATAAAGTTTTTGTGAATAATTCTGATATTGTTAAGCTTCACGAACTAAATTGATCCGGTCACCATTATTTGCGATAATATACAATATTTTGTCATTACGTATTATCTTTTGTATATTCTGAATAAATTTGAAAAGATCATTTTCCATTGTCCGTTGTTTATCGTCTAGGATATACATTTCAGTTGTGGCACATTTAGAAGATTTCCATTCGTCAATAGCAGGATCAAATTGTACAGAACACCCGAAGCTATTAATTATATGTGCACCAATATTATATGAGTCTTCTTGCTGATTGTATTTAATTTGAAGTATATAACCATTGAAATCAGGATGTTCCGGAACTCCAAGAATTGCCCAGTTACCTTTAGCATCAATTAATGGTAATGATAAGATGGTATTTTTTTCGATAAAGCAGAATAATATTAAAATCCAAAAGGCAAATGAAGAAACAATCACTTTATTTTGATTCATAATGTATATATTTTCTCAATTATCCTTAATTATGAGCAAATGATAAAGAATATCGTTGTTTTAATCATCCCAGAGAACAAAGAAGAGATGTTCATTGTTGAAAATTGAATGAACTTCACCCCAACAGAAAAAAAGACGAAAATGCTGCATAGATGTCAGCAGAGGATGACAAAAAAAAGATAGTTTGATGTAGGTGTGGATGTTCTATTTCATCCACACCCATACTCTCTCTTAAGAGAAAAACGCAGGTTTTATTATTTACTAATGCTGAAATCTATTGCAAAGGCTTCATTACTCTTCGTAAGTGTTCGTTTCCGTTAAGTTGTCAATATTATGATATCGGCTAAAGAATGATTGCGTAGGCTGATAAGAAAGTATTCGAAAGACGACATCATTACTTCCAATAGACTCTAAACTGAGTCATGATGATTGCTTTAAGAGATAAGGATTGCTATAGTTCTCGATGAATTATTTTGTAATACCACATGTGATTATTTTTCTCATAAAGTGTTTCGCAATATCTATCTATATATATAGTTTCATTGTCATACCTATGCAATTTTAATAATAAAATTTCAAGTATGTTATATGAAATGCGATCTTGGTTCTTCCGAAATTCGTCTGAATGGTCATTGCATAAATTGATGTTCGACATAATTCTCACTCTAAGACCATTCAATTTAATTCAATGGCTTATTTTGACAATGATTTCAATGACATTAAGTACTTATCTAAATGTATCTTTCTTTTCCACGGTTACAACTGATGTTGAACAAGGTTTGAAATATCTTTTTTTAATGATCATATTTGAGAATATCACTTCGTATTGTTCATTGCAACAAAGTGTAGCTAAAAAGACATTTATTCTTGATTTTCTTGAATGTTTTCGAACAAAACTAAATCAAAGAATTCTCAGTACCAATTGGATTAAAATTAAACTATCTGATCAAGAAGATATTCGACAAAAAATAGAAAAAGCTTGTTCTTCTACTGAATGTCTTGTTGAAGACTTAATTGATCAATTCAGAAAAATCTTTAAATTAATTTTGGCAATCATTACCATATTCTACATATGTCCAATAGCAACAATCTTAATTGGAATTATTTATATATCTTCCTATTATTTCTATTTACACCAACAAAATAGCCATTTACTCGATCTTAAAAAAGAAATCTCCGAAAAATATAATAAATTATATTTAAAATATTTTCGTGCAAAATCAAATATGTTTGAATATGTAATTCATCATGAAAAAAATAAAATTATTCACTTGACTAATGAATTAAAGATCGATATGGACAAACAATGGTTTTCTCTTACTTATCTTTATCATAATTTATCATTCAAAGAAGATATACTTGGTGAATTATGTATATTTACAACGATTATCGTTTATTATATATTAAATGGAACTAGTACATTTAGCATTCCATTGTATCATCATCTAACAAAACTTACCTATACTATGCATTCGATACTTATGTCATATATTCGTTGGATAAGATTAAAAAAAGATTATGATCTTGTTAGACCAATACTTGAAGAATATGATGAACGGATGAATGTTGAACAGATCGATTTACAATATGAATTTCAAATTGAAAATCTTTCATTTAAATACAAAGGAAAACGAGAAGAATTTCATTTGCAATATACAATCTATTAAGAAAATGAAGCTCTCAAGACGCGTTTCGATCCTTGCTTAAGGGATCATCATCAGTTGAGTTCCATTCCATCCACACAAAGATATCGTGAGATACTAATCGTGGATATTCATTTCTTAATAAAATACAATCTATTAAGGAGATGAAGCTCTCAAGACGCGTTTCGATCCTTGCTTAAGGGACTCACCAAGCGGCTTCCCAGGTCAACCCTTACGACGATCGTAAACGACAGTAAAAGACCGTATACGATGACGAAAACGACCGTAAACGACTTACTTACGACCGTTTACGTCGAGTTACGGAACCGTTTGGTATCCGCAGTATTACAGTCGTATATTGTCGTGGTCGTAAACGACCGTATACGATCATCGTTCACGGCGGAGTACACCCCGATGAAATGCCCAAGAAATCTCTGAAAAATCCCCAGAAATCTCCGAGAATCCCAAGAAATCTCTGAGAAATCTTTGAGAAATCTCTGAGAAATTTGAGAAAATCTCCGAGAAATCCCAAGAAATCTTTGAAAAATCCCTACAAATCCTTGAGAAATCCTAAGAAATCTGTAGGAAATCTCCGAGAAATATTGAGGCAATCTTTGAGAAATTGTAAGAAATCTCCGAGAAGTCCCAAGAAATCACATCGAATCCAAGTGAAATCTAGAAGAATTATGATGAAATCCAACTGTAATTTATTTAACATCTGTTGAATTTTTTGGGAGGTCTATGAAAAATCTATAATAAATGTCAAGAAAGTTTATGAAATCCAAGTGGAAGTTTTCAGTAATATGCTGCCAGTCTTGAGAAATCTTCTTCAAAATAGTTCCCTGATTGCCGCAGAAATAACGTCACGAGCTGAATAAATCAAAATGGTATCCTAAAATTGCAATATACCCTTATGAGTGTCTTTATGTATCTAATAAAAGTTATAATAACGTAAAAAAAAGCTGGGTACTAGACCGCTCCGTGACGAACTATTTCAAATAAAAAAGATAATATAGAGAAACTCACCAAATGAAAACAATTAAATTGCATGCTTGAAAAGCTGGGAATTCATAACACATTAAGTTTTGTTCGGTTCTCTCAGAAACCTATTCTTTAATGAGCACAGAATAGAAATCATTAGAATGTGAATTTAAAGGAGACATTTCGGATTAAAATTCATGTTATTTGTAACACTTAAAAAAAAGGCTTTCTTTTTATCAATTACTTTAATTTCGAAATTTCAACAGATTTTTGACTTTTTATTTGGGGGGGGGGGTCCACTAAACAAGCATTTATAACAAACCGACTCACGTACGAAAGATAAAATAAGATATGAAATTAGTAATCCAATAATTCAATCTAAATGATAATAGAAATGAAAATGAAATAGGGGTATATATATACTTATAGTTGCAAAACAAAACGGTGAATGATTAGTGGACCAAAACTCTGTGATTAAGATTTTAAATTTCTATGCCAAATCTTTTTTAAAAATTCTCGAAAAATTTAACTTTAGTTTTTTTCTCGGACCGGGGGGCGGTATGATGCACGATATTTTATAATAAGCATACTCCAAGGGGGAAAAAGCGAGACTTCAGGAGTGTGTACTTCACTAGTACTTCATCGGTACTTCACCGGTACTTCACCGGTACTTCACTGATACTTCACTGATACTTCACTCTACTTCACTCATACTTCACCCTACTTCACCGATACTTCACTCTACTTCACTAATACTTCACCCGTACTTCAATCTACTTCACTCATACTTCACTCATACTTCAATCTACTTCACCCGTACTTCACTTGTACTTCACTCATACTTCACTCTACTTCACTCGTACTTCACTCTACTTCACTCGTACTCCACCCTACTTCACTTCTACTTCACTGATACTTCACTGGTACTTCAATGTACTTCAGTTGTACTTCACTATACTTCACTAGTACCCCACTAGTACTTGAAGTACAAATGAAATCCTGACTGAAGTAGAAGTGAAGTAGAAATGAAGTAGATGTGAAGTACAATGAAGTACCAGTGAAGTATGACTGAAGTATGACTGAAGTACAGTGAAGTACGATACTTCACGGTACTTCAGTCGTACTTCAATTTACTTCAGTCATACTTCACCCGTACTTCACATCTACTTCAGTTCTACTTCACATCTACTTCACCCGTACTTCACTTGTACTTCACTCATACTTCACATCTACTTCACTCTACTTCACATCTACTTCAATCTACTTCACTTCTACTTCATTCTACTTCAGTCGTACTTCAATCTACTTCGCTCGTACTTCA